ACAACTATTATTGTTAAAGTTATTGTTAAATTAAATATTTGACAGAATACATCACGAATATTGTAAAATATTTTAATATCAAACATACGGATTCCTTTTAGTCCACTATTGAAATTGCCGAATACAAATATTGACCACACTAATGTCGTCTAAATAAACATGACGACAATTAATAAAAGTATTGCAATCTTAAATGAGATCAATAATTTTACTTACGGCAGCCATAATGATTCCAATAATTACTATTAGAAACATAAAGCATTAGTTAACATGAAATCATTTCACTTAGAACAATAAAGATCAAGTAATCCGCTTACCAAATATGATAAAGAAATACCAACTACCAGTCGCGTCTCCAATCGAATAAAACAAAAGAATTGTAAAATCTAAAATGCAAATAGCAAGTATGAAAAAAACAAAGTACATCCCAACTCTCAACTCTCTTCGTGCCTAAATTATTATGAGAAAAAAAATCTAAGATTGAAAGGAACAAACAATAAGTTTTTTAAGAATGTCTAAAAACGACTTACCGAATAATATGCTAATATTTGATTTATACCGACACAAATAGTGACAAAGAGATGAAATATATAAAACTCTATAGGCATATATCTTAGATGTTTTAGATCACTTAGTTTACCAATTGTATATACATATACATTTAATGCTTCAATGGAAAGACCAAGAATAAACATTGCATCAAGTTTTAGTAACAAGAGATAAATTAAATATGTTCTATAAGTAGCTATAATATTTTCGGATAATAAGCACATTGAAAGAAAAAAATAAATAAATAAATGAATGAATGAATAACAAGAACTTCATACATTAAACGTTATAAGTGTAAACTATACTTTGCATTTCTACATCGGCTCCAATTTTTTTATAAATATTCCAACCATATTGTCGGTATAACTTCCAGCATAAAAATCCCATGGCAATTGAAAATAAAAATAACGCAATTATCAAAGGTAAATCATATTTCACAAATTGTGTATGTAAAGGTAACCTTCCCGGACAGTCTAGATCGAAATCCGTAAACCATTTCTTGACTTCTACCCATTGAATCTATCAATATAAGAATTCATATTTTTCGTCGTTATTAGATAGAATTGTTAATGAATCACTATTGCTAAGTAATTTTTAAGAATACCTCTGGAGTATCTATTAAAAATCACATAATGGGAGTGCATCATTAACAACCCCATATGATATATATGCGAATTTAAATTACATAAAAAGCAATAAAACGTAAAACTTACGATCCCATTAAGTGCAAAAAGGAAATTGATAACAACAATTGCTATTACTTGCATTGAATTTTGGTTATACATCTTTGACAAATGAGATTATAAATAATAACAATATTTGTGATCATAAAAAGCATAAAGATAAAACGATAATATATTTACCGCACTAAAGCAAAACCACACTTGAAAGATTTGGAAGAAGATGAAAATAAGATTTTCATCTTTAATATTATTTAATCTCACATACGAAGGTTGGTATATACATGAAGCATTTGCAGTCATTTCATCAGATATGGACCCTATAGTACTCAAACTTTGTCCAGTAGAATTATTACGTGTATATACTCTAAGTTCCAGAATAATGATTGCAATGGCTTGCAAGATAGAAGTAAGCATAAATAGTTTTGTCCATTTTGATTCGTTTAGGCGAACCAACTAGTGACAAGTGGCAACGGTGTGAAAAAAAGTAAACAAAAATAAAATTTGAAATATTTAAGGTGGCTGATAAAAAAAAAAAAATTTAAAGGATTAGCATATTACATACCACCTTTTCGCTCCACCTTTTATAATATTCTAACTTCAAAAATTCAACCATCTTGTAAAATCAGAAAATTATTTATTTATTCAAATATAATCAGGCGAAATTTTCAGTTCTCATTCCTAAAGAATTTTCTAATAAATGAATTTCTTCTTAATATATCTTGGTGGCTGTGTTATTATATTTCATTAGAAGCCTCAAAAATTGCTCGGGAGAATATAAATTGCAAGATCTGAAAGCCGCATTACTTTGATGATCCAGTTCTATCTTAACATCTTAAAAATTTTCGTGTTTAACGTGCAACGCCACGTCTTCTTTCTTGCATTTCCGTAGACACCTTTGTTAAGTCGAATTTATTTGATCTAAATAAATAACAGTCTATTCATGTTAGGCTTATCTTTTAATTTTATGAATTAAGAATGAATCTTTGCAACGTACTCACGAGTATTGTAGCACTGTAATACTTTGACCACAATCCAAGTACGTGCGTACGTACGTATATTGTTAATTGATGAATGAGTTTAAACAATTAATAATAATAATAATAAAAACTGCTGTACCTAAAATTATAATCATTTTTCATATAGACTTTCATTATAACAATGCTAAATTCTTATATTTTAATAATGTATAAAAATATGACATGCAGGTTTCTGATTTATGTATTTGGTAAAAAAGAAATTTTGAAAATATTTAGTATGTTGTTAAATGATACATAAGAAACAACGGTGAAAATGTCGTCTAATAGAATTTCTTTTTTATTAAATATAAATACAGTTTACGGTTTTTTTTTTCATTCAGCACAGAAACGTTAAGTCTGTACTTTTATTACTAATCAGCGATAAAAAAAAATTAATTTATTACATCTGGGAGGACGATGCACAGTATATACGCAGAAAATTCTAAGAATTGTTCACGCTTTTATACATTTCAGCTACTAAGAAGTAGAACCTGCTAGAGGCTTTGTGTTATCATGCCAGCCTCCATCAAACATTCACATAGCTTTACCAAACAATATCGAAACAATTGAAAACAAAACGATAACTTAACCATATTATTGTTCAAAGAAGTAATAATATAAAGAGTCACACTAATGCAGTGAGCTTTATGAGTTGAGCGATTTTAGAGTAGAAAAAAAAATAACTCACACCTCATCCATTTAATACACTAATAAAATGGGAGGTTGAATATATTGAAAATAGAAGATATTATAGTCTTATTGGTGCAGTATTTGTAGCAACCTCTCATTTGAAATAACAAATAAATGTTTTATATAAGGTTACACGATTATACATGACATGGAAAGTATTGCAATATTTTTTATTTTGGCATGCGGCATTGCCTAAAGCTAAGCAACTATTAACAAGTCATGATCTGAATCTTATAAGATACTACTATTACTAGTGATGGGCAAATTGCAGTTTTTCAAAAATCCCGCGCGGGATGCGGGATCACGCGCGTGATCCGCGCGGTTTCCGCGGGATTGTTTACCGGAAATCTGTAAATTTCGGCCGGAATTATGGTATTGGCCCGAATTATCCCGCGCATCACGTGATGGATCACGCGCGGGAACCCGCGTGATGCCCATCACTAACTATTACACATAGGCTTACTTATACAGTATAAATTTTTTTTTTTTTTTTCTACCGTATATTTTTTACTTAACTTTACTGTATGTCAGAGTTTTTATATTTGATAATGACTTCTATTTGATTACAAAATATTTTTTGTTTTTATTCTAACTTGAACTATAGATTTAGGCTATAAAAAGGTATAATTCTCAAGCAGCACGCTCAATGTGATTAGCTAGTAGTGATCGAGATAGTGTTCAGCCATTAAAGCGTTATTAATTAGACCATTTTTGAGAACAGATAATAATTTTATTGAAATATGTTTACGGGCGTTCTCAAGCACCTCAATTAATGGATCAAAGTATGTCAAAAATGTGTCGGGAATTAAATGTTAATTAACGGAAAATAATTTTAATCGATCAATCGAGCTTGTCATTAAGATGAGTAATGTAGTTTGTTACGTGAAAAAAATTTTTAAATAGTAAAAAATGAACCGTGAGTTTGTCATTTCAGTCAAAAAACTTTGTCCCTAACCACCTTTTTTTTTGCCCTGACTTATCAAACCTTTATAAATATTAAAATGAATAAAGTATTGTTCGTGTTTTCATACTTTTATTTTACTTTTATTATGCTTTTATTATGGATCTAATAGCAATGTTCACTCGTATTATTATGGCAATAGCTAAAATTACGTCATATTACTTGTGCACTATTTAGATCACTATGAAATCGCATCTCGATTGATGCTTGAGAACACCCTAAGTCTGAGAAAGCTTTAATTCCTCTCCCACTTCTGATTGGATGTATGTAAATGCCATCTTTGATTGGGCAAATATATTACGCCACTTTCCGTTGTCACGGGAATTTTTGTTAATACCTAATCGTTACATCATACGTAATCATGCGAGGGGAACCAAAAAAGGGGGTCGTCTAAAGCGGGGGCAGAATCACGTGACATATGACCAATCAAATTATGGAATTTTGATGATCGCCGGCGAAGCAAACAAGAAAAAAAGCGAAAAATTGTTGATTCTCCTTTCCCGAAACCCACCCAAGGTAGGTTTAGACTACCATTTTTTGTATTTTTCAGGTATATTTCTTCAAACTTACTGTAATTTTTTTAAAAAAAAAAATCGGTTGAGGGTAGACCAAAGTCTGTCCCGAATGGTCCCGAACCAAAACCGAATTAAAATCGATCGAACCAGTTCACGAACCATGGTCCGTTTATGGGCCACTATTTGGGCCTGTCTTTTGAAAACCAGACCAAGGATGGACCATAACATCCCTAATTTTTGGAGGTGTTCTAATGTGTTCTTGATGTAGTTTAAATGTTTCGAACTTCACGTGAACAAGATTAACGTAGAGTGTCCAGAATTATAATCCGGTCATTACAAAACTATGCGGGTCCCGGGATTAGGGTTAAAAATCACAAAAGAAAATAAAACTGCTTATACGTATCATAAAATAACTCCTTGTAAAATTTTGGTATAAATAATATCTTCGAATCCTTACTGTGAAATAGATTGAGAGTTTTTTTTGTATAATAATTCTACCCTTGAAAATTACAATTACGTTAAATACAAATTTACAATTAATAGTGTGTTGGCATATAATCGTTATACCAATATTATAAAAAGATTGAATAACTTTTACTACATTCGGAGCTATTAATGTTTAAAGGTGCATCAACATGATCTTACGGAATTAGTATATAATAGGCCGGCTTGATATCAACATTATGTGTAGTGGCTAGGTTATGCGCGATTGAGCGAATTTCTTGAAATTATGCAAAATCGCATATTTTATGTGCTATAAGGCAAATTGTGCGGATATTAGACGTTAAGAAAATCAATTTTTTCGCGAAATACTATAAAAGTATCATGCAAATAACGAAAGTTAATCCTTTAAGTTGACCAATTAGAGCTTTTTTTGATTAGCCAATCAAACACAATTTCAATCATGCTGAAAACTGGATCAATATTATAGAATTCGTCATTTATCATAAGGTAGCTTCGATTAATATAGCAAACGAAACTTAAAACAATCACAGAACTAAACTAATAGATTATCATTAGTTATGACTTTGCTTTAAAAGATCTTCTGAAGATTTAGGGATTTTTAAAATATCCTAAATCGTAGCTCCTTCACTATTGTTAATATTTAAATCAAGCTCTTGCATGACATCAAAAATTCATCCTAAAAAAAGTATCTTTTTTAAGTGATACGGATACTAATAAAACAAGCGTCTACATAATTACTTACATGAAAAACAGTCATAAGATATAGAACCACTTTGTATTTTGATTAGAGATGGGCAAAATACAAAATTTTCATTTTAGCATGCACACGCGCATGCATTTTTTGCATGCATGTTTTGACCAAAATTATGAGTTAATTTCTTAATGCTGGCCAGGGTTAATTGCATGATTTGCATACCATGCATGCAATTGCCCATCTCTAGTTATTACCACGGACTTATTCAATATATCCTGTCTAGTCACTAAATCACTCTTAGGACCTTAAAAATTCTTGAGAATGAAATAAAGTTTTAATAATTTATAGCATTGATTTAACAAATTTGATTGGTTTTGACACTATCGACCAATAATGGGACATATATTTGAGTTTTGTTATTATCCTAAGTAAAGAAGAAGTCCGTGCAGTAATGTCAATTCAAAAAATGGGTTGGTCGCAGCCCTAATCCCGGTAATGAGTTTGATGAGATCTATCCCGGTGATGTGAGTGGTGAGATCTATCCCGGTGATGAGACCTATCCCGGTGATGTGTTTGATAAGATCTATTTGAAGGTTGGTAACGACTGATTCTTGGACCGTTCGTCCTACTATGTTGTGATTCCTTAGGGTATTGGAAAACAGGTCGGTTATTTCTAGCTTCGAAATGTTGATGTTGATGTCTCATTTCTGTTGAAGAATTGCGACGCCAACAATCGTCAAACCGATGTTCAGGAAGAATTTCTGGCATGGACTGATTACCAGCAACATGGCTAATAAAAATAATGTGTTAATGATTAATTTAAATAACCATTTTTTATATCATTCAAAAAGCTTACAGAGGTCGTTTAAATGGTCGGTCTCTTGCACCGAATCGAAGTTGTCCTGATTCTTTTCGTCCCCCAAATCCACCACCCAGTCGTCTTGGAATCCAACCCCCCATCGTGCGACTTCGTTCATAATCCGTTAAAATTTGACGATCATCTATTATCATTTTATAGGAATTCTACATGCGAAATGAACGATCAATACTCAAATAGATTTATGAAATACATAATAAATATGAATGGGCTTACTTTGTAGGCTTCTTGACATGATTTTTCATGTGTGAACTCAATAAACGCATATCCACGCGAATCACCTGTAACTATTGAAATAATTATTTGTGAAATGGCTATTTTATAAATGATTTCATATCGATATCTTCCAATTCAATTTACCTAAATTTCTTACAAGTCTAATATGTTTGATTGTA